AGCCGGGTGGGCTGTTTTGGGGGTGCCGCTCCATCCCCCCTCCCCCAGGTGCTGTCCCGCTGCCCCAGCCCCGGCCTGGCCCCCGCCGTGGAGACCCCGCTGCTGCTGCCGGAGGCGCTGGAACTCCTGGAGCAGAGCCTGGGAGATGACGATTACGGCACCTGGAAGAGCCTCGGCACCGCTTGGAACAGGGCCAGGTGTGCTCCAGCTCCCCCCGGCACCGAGGAAGGGGGTCTGGATTGGGGGGGGAGGGATCACAGCACCCACTCTGGTGTCCCTCCCGATGGTTATAGGGCCGAGTACCCCAACGGCGCCCAGGTGCCCGGGTACGTGCCGGTGTTCTCGGACGGGTGGCTGCCCCCCTCGAGGGAGCAGGAGCGGCCCGGGGGGCTCCAGGACCCCCCGCCCCCCGCCTCAGGTGCCTCAGCTCGCCCGGGCCCCTCGGCCCTGTCCGCGCCCCCCGCCCAGGACCCGCCCCCCAGGTAAGTGACCCCGTCCCCGAGGGGCGCTGAGGGTGGGGGCAGGGTGTGTCCCCCCTGGTGGTGACCCGCCCCCTCCCCAATTTGCAGCCCCCTCGGCCCTGCCCAGGGGCTGTTCCGAGCCCTCTACGACTTCCAGGCTCGGAATTCCCAGGAGTTGAGCGTCAGGAAGGGGGACACGCTGCAGGTACAGTGGGGGTGGTCCGCGCTATGGGTGGGGGGAACGGAGTGGGGACCCCCGGCCTCCCGGCCCCCCACCCTGGCCCCCCTGTGCCCCCCCAGGTCCTGAGCCAGCAGAAGAAGTGGTGGCTGGTGCAGGACGAGCGCGGGGACCGGGGGCACGTCCCGGGCAACATCCTGGAGCCCCTCCCGGAGCCGGGGCGCGGGGGAGGCCCCAGCGCCGGCCAGGTGGGCGTCCCCCCCTCCCCTGCCCTCCCCGAGCCCCCCATCAGGAGGGGGTGGCCGGGGCACATCCCGTTGTCCCCTCCCGTGTCCCCCCAGGGCAGCTCCCCCACCCTGCGCCCCGACTCCACTCCGGCGGAGGTGACGGCCTGGCTGGCGGACAAGGGCTTCTCGCGGATGTAGGTGGTCCCTTGAGCCCCCCCGAACTCCCGTGGGTCCGTCTGGGAGGGGGGGACGAGCCCGGCTCACCCCTGTGCCCCCCCAGCACGGTGCGGAGCCTGGGGGTGCTGCGGGGGCAGGAGCTGCTGCAGATGAGCCCCGAGGAGCTGCGGGCGGTCTGTCCCGAGGAGTGGCGGAGGATCCTCTTCAAGCTGTCGGCCGCCAGGACATCGCTGGAGGTGGGGGACCGCCTGCCCTGAGCCCCCTCCCCAGCA